TTTGTATTTGAGACAGGGTCTCCTTGCAACCCCAAGTGACCTGGAACTCCCTATGTAGACCTGCCTCTGCCTCCCAAGTGTTAGGACTAAAGGTGTGTGCCACCACACCTGGCTGCTAGGTTTCTTATTGATGATTCTCCTTCTATGCCTCTTCCTAACAGGAGCCCAGGGTTAGCTTCAGTGGTATGGACCACATTTCTGCCACTCACATCCTAATTAGTAAGCACACAACTCACACTTTCTGATCAACCGTTGTGAGGTCTATATTCTTGACAGTCTGGCATGGTGCTTCTGATAATAGCATCCTAATTTGGAGAGAATTTCTTTCCTCACTCTTGGTCCACTTGTCCTGGGGTTTGAGTGAGTTTGTGTCCTCAGGGCTCCAGAGGTAGGCTAGTGACCCAGACTTGACCAATCAGACCATTCTATCTCCCTGATCATAGAGATTGGTTAAGAGAGACATGCAATCTAGATGAGGCTCACATATTGGCACAATTCCGCTATCTCATGAGCTTTTGTTGAATTCATCATAGCTCTTACGGCCACCTGACATTTTCTTGTATCTGCACCTTCTGTCTGTCTACCTCTATGACTACATGCTCCATGGGAACATAGGTCTTCTCTGTACTCCCACTACTCAGAACAGTGTCTGGCACATAAATAACCTGAAGTAAGGATTCCTGTCATTTGATATATAGGAAAATTTGGGTTGGGAGGTTGAGCAACTTGCCCAGTGTAACATACCTGGAAAATTTTAGTAGAAGTGTGATAAAAAAAAAAACAAAACATTTGATTCCAAAAATTGTGGCCTTACCTTTTTGGTGACTCCCAGATTTGTCTCAAATTTCACCATCTTAAAATTCTAACAGATACAAATCTCTGCTAGATTATGAGTTACAGTTTGAGGATGATTTGCATAATGTGTCATAGACAGAACCTGTCATTTTCTTTGGATGAGATCTTTAGGGACATCTAGGTCCAGAATGGGTCCAAGTGGACATCCTAGTAGACCAGGCAGAGGTTCGTCATGCCTGTAATGCACTTTGAAAGAAATTATCGAGGTGGAACTAAAGGACAGCTTCAGCCTTAAGAAGAAACATCTGTGACAAGCATATACAGACGGAGGGAGACCATGACAGTTTCATATGCCAGGGGCCGATGTGGGTGGGATATTGGGGTGTATATATGAAATACAGCCCCTCTTTGGAAGGATACAGAACACGAAAAGATAATAAACTCAAGGTTTAGAATTACTGTAATTGACATGTGAATATATTGCTGGTTGTTGGAGAATACTGAAAAGTCTGAATAAACTTTGTACAGAAGAGAAACTACAATATAACAAAATGACAACATATCATAGAAACTAAAAGACTTCTTTGAAGTTTGATTGTGTAAAACATTCAGCTGTCAAAGATTTGAGTTTTTGTGCTTTTCAAGTTTAATCTTTATGTAGACTTTTACATGTAAGAATATCAACCGAGGCAAGGAAAGCTTTTTTATCCCATTGAGAGCTTGAATTCATCCTTTTTATCACCAGTCATTCAAGAATAAAAGCCCATGTGATATTAAAATAAGAAAAGTGAAAACACCACTTTTAATGCCTAAAAAGGATGTATGAGGCAAAGGTAGAAGTTATCCATGTGAGAGTTGTCAGGTTCTGAAGTTTAGGACCAAGCACATGGGAGACATGGCACCCCACTGTTTTGTGTTGTAACTGGATGTCTTTAAAAAAATTCCTATGCTTTTCTTTTCAATTAAGAACACTGGTCACATCAAAATATTCATAAACATTTACCAATGGTTTTAATATTGCTCAAATTGAAGTTAGAGTTGTAATTGTAAGGTATTATAAAATGCTTCATATAACTGGCATATAAGTTGTATTAACTCCAAATGAAGGTTATAATGGGGGAATTGAGTAAATTAGAAAATACTAAAAATTCTATCTTATTGTTTAAATTATTTTATCTTGAAATAATTTTAGAGTTACCAAAACTTTCAAATTCACAGAATTCTTCCTTGAATGTCATCATTTTATTTAAGGATAATGATTATCAAAACTAGGAAGTTAATGATAAAACTCATCATATAATTGTGAACTACAGGCCTAAGTTTCACATCCATGTCAGTTTTCCCATCCATGGCTCCTTTTTGTGCTAGAATCCAGTCCAACGTCTCATTTTGCATTTAGTTGTCAAGCTTCCTTGGTGTCCTCTGATCTGCTAGGACAGTTTCTCTGTCTGGCTTTCTACATGCCAAGTAGCTCATGCTCTTCACCTACTTAATACCTGTTGGTCACTCCCATTGGCTTCAGAATAAAATGCAAATGAATAACATGTTCGAATTCTGCATTACCTCACTCCCCACCAGCCATCTAGCCTTGTGTCTTAGCATTCCATTTGGAAGGCACACTATGCTAGCTATGGGTCCTCTCTAGAGCCGTGCTCAAGAGGCCCTTGCATGCAGTACTCCCTCAGCTGAAAGGCTGCTCCTAAATAATTAACAAGGATTTATCCAATTGCATTCCATGGCAGGTACTGTGGATATGAAGTAAATCACAGCTCTTGTCTTTACGGAGCTCACTCTCTAGAAGCAAGGAGACAGACAGACACAAAAACATGCTATGCTTCCACTGACACACTATCTTAGAGAAGAGCCATTAGAGAAAATGGTGCCCAAGAAGAGGCTTCTGGATATAAAGGGGTTTACCGTGCATGTGAGGATACAGGCTGATGTGCACAAAGCAGCTTTTAAGGTTTCTCAGTCAGAGGACAGTGAGGTGACAAGCAGGAAGAGGCTGACCAAGTGATGAGGGAATCTGTGGCTCCTAAGAGCTTGGGCTTTGTCTTCATATCAAGACCTAATGAGAGGGCCCCTTTTGCATCTTACTAGGTTTCTAGATGCACCGTGGGCATGGCCTTCTAATAGAAGCCTTCCCTGATAATTTCCCTTCTTAGATACTCCCTGTCTGTGCACTCTGTCACTTGAAGAAGCCCCTTTCATGATGACTGATAAGCTGGACTGTATTTTAAGCTGTATCTTCCCCTATAACCTTTTCTTTACCTGTCAGGGCCAAGGGTAATGCTGAGCCCCCATAGTCCTGTCACTGTGCCTTCAGGGAGGCCAGAAAGAGTAGAAGACCTAACAACACACCCTGCTCCTCAGAAGTTCCCATCAAATCCTTGGCACAGGTAAGTGCTAGGGATATGGTCTATGCCAAGCTGAATGCTAGAAGTTCCTGGACATTGGCCCTCAGGAGCAGGTTTTGGAGAACTGAACAGAGGCTTCAATGACTTCCTAAGAGTTACCTTAACTATAAATGGCTGATTGTGTTGTGCTAATATATTTTACAACAGTTGTGCTCATTAAACTTTCTTTTCCTACCTTTGTCCCTCTACTCCCTCCTTCCTCTTTTGTCCTCTTTACCATCCTCCCAATTAGGCAAAGACATCGTGATGCAGGAGGTGGTGAGAAGAGAGGCTCTCTAAAACCATGTCAACACTTATTTCTGCCTTGGCTTCACTCATGGCCAAGTTCTCTGCCTGGCTTCCACGGTGGTGGGTGGCAGTCTGGGTTGAGTCTTGTGGGTCTCAGGAGGGTTGAATCTGGAGGGCTGAGCTGGGGTGGAGCCATGGGGAGGGGTGGAGCAATGGGAGGGTTGAGCATCTTTTAGATCAGTCTGTCCTCATTGCCCTTCTTTCTCTTCCAGGGTGAATTGTTGAGATAACTATTCCCCACTGTCCTTTACCCTTGATTATGAAGGAAAAGGACCAAAGTGGTCCCGATTTCTGGAGCAGAGGCGCTGAATCCAGCAGCTATTGTAGCTTCTGGAAAATTAAAAAGCATGCATTTCCACACGACTTGCTTATTTATACCAGATTTGCTGTTTTAAAATCTCCCTGCAGTCTGGGCTCAGGCCTTCTTCCTTCAAAAGGCTTGACAGACCAGAGAAGATAACAGCTTCCCTCACTGAACTCCCCTGAACGCTAAGTGAGGCTCTGAGCTGAGCTCAGGGCTTATTTTCCAGTGTCTGGGATCTCTGTGCTGCCTTTGTGTCCGGCTCTCCCCGACACATTGCCTTGTTGTCCTTGAGGGAGGAAGCCTCCAACTTCCTTTGTAACTTCCCAGTTCCTCTGTCCACAGCCTCTGCACATCTGCTCACCCACCCCGGTGACTTTGTTTTAACGTGCTGCACACAGGATTAAAATTTTCATCTTCAAGTGAAAATAAACATTTGGCTTTGTGCCCATTTATGCATGGGCACCTCTGGATGAGGATACAGGCAATGTTGCTCTGAGAACCTCTACAGAGGTGGCAGCTGGCAGCATGACAGCGGTTCACCTACTAAAGACCACTCTGGAAAAAATCAGTAAGCCAAAAAAACACAACTGTCCCAGGGACATCTCCTTTGCCTCTCAGAAAAATCAGTATGCAGAATGGTTAGAAAAGTTCAAGTCCTCACTCTGACACGTGTTGACCCTGACAGGTCAGCTTGGCTTTCGGCTGCCCTTTCTTCATGTGGAAAACGGGAACAGAAAGTGAGATGGACTTGATGGGGATGTGAGGATTAGGTGAGATAGCTTAGTTCTAACGGTATTCATATTATTATTAATTGCCCAGACAGGCAGGTTGCTTCTCTTTCTTGGGACATGGAGAACTTGGCTGGATAGCCTCAAGGTGTCCTTTGCTTTCCAAGCCCCCCCAGAGACCGAGTGGCCAGGGATCGGGTCCAGTGGTGCTTGCCCAGTGGGGGCTGACCGGGGAGCTGCCCAGGCCGGTGCCCAGGTGTGGCCCTGACCACACTGAGTGCGGGCGGGGCAAGTCGGCGTCTGGGGGAGGCCCACGGCGAAAGAGCTGGCCTCGGTCCCGGAGCGCGGCAGGGGGCGCCTGCGCTGACCCGCCTGGCCCCGGCTGAGCCCCGCGCCGCGTCACCGGAGTCGCTCAGGGCTCGGGCGCCCTCGGGCTGGTCGCAGAGGAGGTGGCGGGGGCGGCGGGGACAGCAGGGCGCGACGCCGCCGGTCTGCCCCGCCCAGGGAGGCGCCCAGGCCCTCATCAAGTGACCAATATCCCTTCCAGGAGAACACGGTCCTTCGGAGGGAAGCGAGCTCCAGGCTGCAGCCCCGGCGCCAAACCGCCGTCATCTCCTTCCTGTGCGGGGTGATCTATCTCCTTACCCACCCGGAAAAACATAGTTCGCCCCTTGTGTCCTTGTGGAACGGCGTGCGCGTTCCCAGCAGGGTTCCTACTTAGCTTGAACCCTTGTCTTGCGTATTCAAGCCCTCTGGGACCCACCGAGAAGAGAAATCAGCCCTAAAGAGAGACCTCAAGAGAGAAGAAAGAGAGGAAGGGAGAGGCGAGGCCGGCGGAGGGACACGAAGGGAAAGGTGTAGTGCGCACGCGCGCGCGAAGAACGAGTTCCGGTCTGGCCGAGGCCTGGCTCCTAAAAATAGCCCCGCTGTGGGGATCCGTGCGCGGATGTCCCGGCGAGTCCCGGGCTGAAGGAGGCGGCTCCGGGCGGCGCGGAGTGCTGTGGCGGGCCGGGGCTGCGGCGTGTGTGCGCCCGCCGGCGGCAGCGGACACCCGGTGAGGGGCCGCAAGCGGCGGGACTGTGGCGGCGGCTCGGGGAAGGGGTCGGGCAGGGCTGAGGTGGGGATGCCGGGGCG